CACCCACACGTTCCCCCCCCCCCCCCCGTTTAATTTTTAGACAAAGAATTATGATGGTATTCTATTCTGAACTAAGATAATCCCAGTGGTTTCTATAACAATAAAATTTGATTAATTACTGAAATTGAAGCAACAATGTGAGAAAGGCTCAGCATGAAACAAGGGAGTTCTCCAAAGCACAAGACAAAGAAATACACAGAGGGTTAGAAGAGTACCATTCGTGTCCCTGTTCTGCCTCTTATTAGCTTTGTTTCCTCTGGGTAAACTCAATGTCTCTGGAACTGTTTCCTAAATGTATATAATACCCTACTTACCAAATTTATTGTGAGAATCAAATGGAAAATAATTTATGAGAGGCACTTTGGAAACTATAAAACACAGACAAAAAAAATTTAAATATCTACCTATGGACTAAAATGATCAAGAGAACCAAAATTATCAAAACAAGGTTTAAGTATAAAGGTCTATGGGGCCAAAGCAAGAAGACAATCCTTTTGTCCCAAGCCAACTCTCCTCTTTTTTCCCCACAGCATTCGCTTCAACTGCCAGAAACCCTCAGAGGTAAATGGACTTGCCTCAAATTTCACATAAAGTATAAAATACAGAGGCCAACACAAGGATTCCAGAAAATCAGGAACTCTCAAATGCAGCTCCTAAGAAAGGTGGCACCATCTTACTGGAGGGCAAAATATTCCCACTCTGACCCAGCAATTCTTCTTCTTGGAATTCATCACAACAAATAATGATCCTGGAGCACCTAAGGTTCTAAGGAGAGCTCATGATGCACCAAGGGTTCTGCTAAGAGATTCATGTTAACATCTCATTCAATCCTTGTGACTGGCAGAAGAGCACTTCAGTCTTACAATGAGAAAAACTGAGGCAAGGGAAAGTTAAGCAATTCGCCCAGGCTCACACAGTAAGTGACAGAGCTGAAATTCAAATCCAAACTTCCTAACTCCAATACCTGGCTCTTAACCACCCCTCTGTAGTGCACAAAGGTTTGATAAGCTGTTCATCACACTTCATGAAAGAAATGAGAAGCAATCTAGATGTCAGAAACAAGAGAGTGATTAAATAACTTATAGTTTGCTCCCACAATGATATGATGGCAGCCATTAAAAACAATGCTTAAGGACAGAGGAGTGGCACGCACAACGTCTTTAACTCTCTCTGAGTCGACTACACCTTGCCTGTAAGTGTAGGGAAGGGATGGGAAACAGCAATTACCTTTGTAGCTGCTGACTAAAGTTCACTGAGCAAGGATAAACACTAACTCACAGGAGACAACTGTCTAGATGAGCTGCTTACCCTAAGGTGCTACATGCCTCTGAGGCAGAAGAAACAGTGTCAATGGGGGTTAGGGGAGGCCAGTGCTGTGAGATAACATCCTGGGATTGGTAGGTTACCTCGCCCACCTCACTTTACCCACAATATTCTAAATAGTAGACCCAAACAGAACACCCTTACTCAAGTTTAAGTAATAAAGCAAACAGAATCCCATATGGGACCTATGAAGGAATGTTAGAAGACGAACAACAACAAAAAATACATAAGAAAAAAAAACTTTTTTTAAATGACAAATATAATCATGTCCCCCCCCCCCGCAACTCACAGTATCTAATAGTACCTCAGAATTTATATTATTGTTTGAAATTAATAAAAATTAATTCCATGTTAAACTTAGTTTCACTCATGGAAGAAAAACAATTTACTGAACCCTACTCCACCACTCTGTTTAACTTAAACATGAATAAAATATTGCCTCACAAAACAAAAATCTATTAGAGAATATCTGCAACATAAAAATGAATCCAATATGAGATGATATGACATATTTCTGGAAAAGCAAAGAAAAAGAAAAAATCATCTTTGGAAAGGATGCAAGATAGACGGGGGTAAAAGAGTAACAGCCAGAGCAGCTATTCTTCATATCTTATATAATCAGAGAGAATGTAGTTTTAGACAGATTTCACAGGAGGAGCAAAAATACAGTATCTTACCCCAGAATACCTTTATGTTATGATAAACTTTTCACTTAATGCTTTTTTGCTTTGTGCTCTATTCTGGGTGAATAAATAAGAGTCCTAAGCAGGGAATAACTAAGTGTGTTATATAGTCAAAGAAATTAAAGTGAACCTAGACCACCTGGAAAAAAGCAGATGAGAGACAAGAAAGTGCAGATGGACAAGCTAAACAACTGAAAAGTGAGCTGCTAGAGCTGAGGAAAGACACATAAATCCTCTTAGAAGCAATAAAAAAGCAGAATAGATATTCCTGAAAACAATGGAATATCAAGTATGTTTTAAGAAAAATCACTGAATGAAAAGGAAAACAAATGAAAGCCATTAGAGAAACAATTATAAAGAATACAGAGAACAGATATAGAACACTTTGAATAAATACACATACTCTTTGATTCTGTGATTTTGCTTCTTAAAATTTATCCCACATATATACTTGGCATGAAATTCACAAAGATATGTGAAAGAATATTCCCTGAAACAAAACAAAAAAACAAAAAATAAAAATAACCCAGAAGTTCACTAACTCAGATATATTATAATACATTCACATAATTATTATCCACCTGTTGGAAAGAGAGAGTAACCCATACTGGCATGAAAGAGCAAGTTGCAGAATGGTGTAAATACTGCGCTCTCAATTGTGATCTAAAAAAAATGATATACACACACAACCCTGACACACATGTGTTCATACATGCCTAGGAAATATATTAAAAGAGGTACTCTAAACTGATGATGGTGGTCACCCATGACAAGCAGGTTTGTTTTTGAATGTTACAACATGTCATCTACCTATAATATGGGAAATGACAGATTATC